CTCCTCCACTACCGGTCAAACATCTAGGACCGTGATTGCCTTGGCGTCTGCCACTACGAAGCTGGCCAGCATGGAAAGTCACCGCGCGGGAAAAAGGCCTCGCTCTGCCAACCTAACATCCGAGCTTGTGCCCGAGTTGAGCACCGAGCAACCGGTGTAGGGATCCGAACCAACTCCCCTATGGCTTCCACAGTTGAAGCACTGGGGTAAGGAGATCTCGGCCAATGCCTCGGTCAAAGGTGATAAAGAACATTTGCTGGCTTTTGACCTGACAAAGGCATTACTTCTGTCGAGCAACATGACTGGCTATGACCACGTGCCCGACACCCGGCTTGTCAAGTCCTTAGTTAAATCTATGACCTGGGTAAGTGCTCTATACGTTTGTTCAAATTTGTTCAAGTGTTATCACGGTTATTCTTCTTATTCGAACTCTATCCTTTTATAGGCCATCCAGAAGCAACATCTTGTGATGGACCGGATTCAAAAAGCTCTGGCAAAAGGTGACTGATGCCTCCAATCAAGTCAAGAATCTGGAGACCGAGCTGGGGAGGTCTAAAGCTTTCACTTGAAATGGCCAATGCTGACAACACAAGACTCTTTGCCAGCTCGGCAGGGCTGAGTAAGAGAGAGACAAGCTGAAAGCCCAACTTGCAGCTGAAAAAGAAGCGAGAAAGGCTGCCGTGGATAAGGCCAACAATCTCGGTTTCTAGGAGGTTGAGGACAACTATAGCAAGCAAGTCAAAGCCACCAAGGACCTTTATTTCAAGTCCGGTTGGAAGGCCACTTGCGAAAAACTCAGCCAAGGAGCGGAGACCGAGGTGTTTGCTTCCCCTCCCTCAGCCTTTCTGCTGGTCTACCTGATTCCTTACGCCAACGAAGTCTTCAACGCTTTGCAAGAGGAGGCGGAAAAAGAAGCCGAGGACGAGGGTAGCCAGCAGGGGCTCGGCGAAAAGGAGAAAGCTGCTGTTGTTGACCTAGAGGTCGCGACAGAAGGAGCCGGGGATGAGTTTGCCGACCTCTCCCTGTTAGCGTAGTTTAGTCTTGTTCCTTTTGATTTCTGTTTGAGTTTTTGTAACCAGGCTACAAGGCCCACTTCATGTACCAAATTTTCCAATCAATGAAATGTCCTTGTTTTGCTTGCAATGTTTGCTGTAGTTTTCCATTTAACCATGCTATTCTTGCCCAACGCATTACAATTTGATTGAACCGAGAAAATTATCTCGGTCTTTAAAGACACGGAAATTATCTAGAATTGAACAGATCATTCTCTATCCTCTATCCAAGATAAAACAGCTCGGCTAAGCCTTCAGGGTTGAGCAAATCGTCAACCTTTAGCCGGGGTAAATCATCTCGGCTAAACCTTCAAGGTTGAGCAAATCGTTAACTCTTTTAGCCGGGGTAAATCATCTCGGCTAAAGCATCAGAGTTGAGCAAATCATCAACTCTATCAGCCGGGATAAATCATCTCAGCCTAACCTACAGGGTTAAGCAAATTGTCAACCCTTTTAGCCAGGGTAAATCATCTCGACTAGAACATTAGAGTTGAGCAAATCATCAACTCTTTCAGATGGGGTAAATCAACTCGGCCTTTGGAAGCGTATGCTCCGCATTCACTACATTACTTCGACCACAACAAACATCCTAAGCAGAAATCATTCATTTCTATTACATTGGCAAATGGAGTATTACATTCAGAAGTAAAGGGGGACAAGTCCTTTCATAAAAAAATAAATAAAAAATAAAAAAAATTACATATAAAAGACAAATACTAAAAATAGTATAGTTTGAGGTTAGCTGTATTCCATGGTCGAGGTACGCTTTTGCCATCCAAGTCCTCTAAGTGGTATGCCCCTTGCCCGCCAGACCGATTATCCTGTAAGGCCCTTCCCAGTTTGCCTCTAGCTTGCCTTCGCCCGGCACCAGTGTGTTGCCCATCACCTTCCTCAAAACCCAATCCCTGACTTTAAACAGTCTGGGGTATACTGTTTTGTGTACTTCCTAGATAATTCTTTTTGGTATGCAACCACGTGGATTAACGTCTTTTCTCGGTGTTTGTCAGCTAGGTCCAATTCCAGTGCGATGGCTTCAGAGTTCAATTCGGGCTCAAAATTTTCGCTGCGGATAGTGTCATACAAATTTCCAATGGAATGACCACTTCCATGCCATATGCCAAGGCAAAAGGAGTTTCCCCAGTCGAGCATCTCGGGGTTGTCTGATATGCCCAGAGGACACGTGAGAGTTCCTTGGCCCATTTTCCTTTGGTTTTCTCTAGCCTTTTCTTCAACCCATCGAGAATGGTCTTGTTTGATGCCTCGGCTTGGTCGTTGGACTACGGGTAGGCCGGGGTGGAATTGTAGAATTCTATCTTCAATTCCTCACAAAATCCTCGGAACAGGCGCCTGTCAAACTAGGTGCCATTATCAGAAATCAAAGCCTTAGGGACGCCAAACCGCGTTATCACGTTCTGCCAAACAAATTGTTTGACATCCTTCTCTTTGATGGTCGCTAAGGGCTTAGCTTCAACCCATTTGGTGAAGTAATCTGTCACCACAATGAAAAACTTTCAGTTGCCTGGTGCTGTTGGGAGTGGTCCCACTATGTCTAACCTCTACATTGCGAAAGACCAAGGACTTGTGAGGGGAAAAAGTTCTCTGGCCGGCTGGTGAATTTGGTGGGCAGACTTTTGGCACTTTTCACATCTTCTAACATATTTCTGAGCGTCTGCTTGCATGCACGGCCACCAGTATCCTTGAGAAAAAGCGCGGTAGGCCAAAGATCTCCCTCCGATGTGACTTTCACACATACCTTCATGGATCTTATAGAGGAAAGCTTCCACGCTGTTTGGATGAACACACTTAAAGTACAAACCGGTGAATGACTTCTTATACAAAGCGCCAGATGGAGAGAGCCAAAACCGCTCTGACTTCACCCGAACTTTATGTGCTTCCTTTTTATAGGCCAGGAGGGTTCTTTCTTTCAGGAAAAGGATGATGGGAACCATCCAAGAGGGACCAAGCTTGGTGCAGAATACTTCCGTCTGCTCCAAGTCCTCAATACTAGGTCTTGGAAGAAACTCGATCAGGAGAGGACTGAGTTGAACTGTCGAACATGGAGGCTCGACCAGCCAGCTCATCCGCTCAGCCATTTTCTTCACGGCCAATTTGTTGGACCCTTATTGCTTGGTATTCCTTGATGTGTTTTCTCACTAGAGCTTGGTATTTGGCCATTCTGTCATCTTTGGCTTTGTACACTCCAGATATTTGGTTTACAACGAGTTGGGAGTCGCTGTAGACTATCAGCTCGGATGTGTGCAATTGGAGCACGCTTTTAAGCTTGGCCAACAATGCTTCGTATTTGGCCTCATTATTTGATGCTGGAAATCCGAGCGTGATAGAGTGCTCGATGGTGAGACCGTTCAATGAGATCAAAACTATGCTCAGTCCGGCGCCGTGGCAGTTGCAGGCACCATCCACAAAGAGTTTCCATATTTCTCCTAAGAAAAGTTTCCAACAATCTGAGGGATCCTGGGAGGCTTTAAGGTTGATGGGATCACGGTCCCTCGGCTGCTTGGCTATGTTTGCTAGAAGCCCGCTGCTGATGATTTCAACAGATGCGTCTCCATCACCCTTCGGCAATGCGTCGCTAGACCCAGCAAGTTGATCTGTTACTCCCAAGCCCATCATCGCATTGCTAGGCTGAAGCATGCTTCCGACTGAAGGTTGTGCGGATGGGCGCGCAAGTTTCGCGTTGCCAACATCAATGTGTTGTGAAATTTCCGTTTGTCTTCCATTCGCCTCCCCAGCTGCCTCGGTAAGATCCACCGGGCACACCGGGTGAATTCCAGGCGAGAATTCAGCAACAAAGTCGGCCAATGCTTGGGCTTTGATGACAGTTTGGGGTTGAAACTTCATGTTGATTTTCCCCAGTTCGACTGCTCACTTCAGGATTCGACCGAAGAAATTTGCCCGCTCAAATAAGGCTTTCAGAGGGAATTCGGTCAGCACCATGACCGTATGAGCAGGAAAGTATTACGCCAATGTCCTAAAGGCCATCATTAGCGCCAAAGCAAGTTTCTGTAGTGGCAAGTATCTGGATTCTACCGGTAACAAGGTTTTTCTCACGTAAAAGATAGGGAGATGTTGGATGCCTTCTGACCGGACAAGTACCGCACTAACCGCATGTTAAGATACCACCAGATAAAGGTAAAGTTCTTCGCCAAGCTAGGGTGTGACCAAGAGTGGGGCGGAAGACAAATACATCTTGAGCTCGGCCAAGGCCCTGTCACACTCTTTGTCCTATGAAGACTTGGAATTCAAGGCTCGAAAGAAAGGGCAGCAATGATCTGATGACCGACTTATGAATCGGTTAAGCGCAGCTGCCATACCGGCAAGATGTTGCACGTCCGTTGCCAAGTTAGGCTGCTTCAATTCTTATATGGCTTTGATTTGTGAGGGGTCCGCTTCGATGCCTCAGTTTGTGACTAGGAAGCCCAGGAATTTTCCTGATCCTACGCCGAAGGCACACTTTGATGCATTCAAGCGAAGCTTGTATTGTTTAAGAATGGCGAACATCTCGGCTAGGTCAGATAAGTGGTTGGCCTGCTGCTTGCTTTTGACCACCATGTCATCGATGTAAGCCTCCATCGTTCAGCCTAGCAGAGGGGCAAACATCTTAATCACCATCCTCTGGAAAGTGGCCCCGGCATTCTTCAAACCAAAAGGCATGACTCTGTAGCAGAACAATCCCCTTGGGGTCGTAAAAGAGGTTATCTCGCGATCGGGTTCATGCATGGCGATCTGGTGATAACCGCGATAGACGTCCAAGGAACTAAGCCGGCTGTGTCCGACTGTAAGATCCACTAGCTGGTCTATTCTGGGCAGAGAAAAACTGTCTTTAGGGCAAGCTCGGTTGACTGCCTTGTAATCAACGCAGACTCGCCACTTTCCATTCTTCTTGGGTACTACGACCGTGTTTGAAACCCACCGAGGGTAGTGCACTTTCTAGATTGCCCTAGCTTCCATCAGGTTCTTGACTTCCTCTGCGACTACCTCTGTATGATTAAGGGCTGATCTCCTTATTCTTTGAATGACAGGATGCGCATTCGGGAAGACATTGAGTTGGTGGAAAAAAAAGCTTGGATCAATGCCAGGCATATCATATGGCGTCCATGCAAAGACTTCGATATTCGCCACCAAGAACTCCACCATCTCGGTCCTTTCTTGGGCAGCCAGGCTAGATCCCAACAAAAAGAACTTGCCAGGACTTTCTGTGTTGATCCGCACCTCCACTAACTCTTCAACAGCCTTTTCCTCAGCCCTAGTGCCCACATCATCATAGACACTTTAGTCTTTCAAACCTTTGATCATTTGCACGAAGCCTTTGGCAGCTCAGCTCCTATTCACTGCCACGAAACACTACGTCGACATGACTTGATCGCCCCAAATCTCCTCAACTTCCCCCGCAGCCGAGGGGAACCTTATGACCTGGTGGTACGTTGACGCTACCGCCTGCATGGCGTGAAGCCATCTCCTACCTAGGATCAGATTGTATGTGGACGGCACCTTCAATACCCAGAACTCCACTTGCTTGACCACGGATCCGGCTTTGACCAGTAAGATTATCTTTCCCATTGGCCACTCCGGTTGTGAGTTGAAGCCAACTAGTGGCGAAGTTACCGGAGCCAAGTCAGTATCCCGGAGTTTGAGCTGCTTGAAGGCGTCGTAGTACATGATCTCGATCGAGCTACCTTAGTCGATCAAGATGTGCTTAACATCGAAGTCCCTGACACGAAGGGTGACTACTAGGGCATCATTGTGTGACGTTTGAATGCGCTGAAGGTCCCTACTTGAGAAGCTAATCACATTTTTCTCCTTGGTCTTGCCCCTTTTGATCGCGGGCTGGATTGACAAAACTTCTCTCATATGTTCCGCCTTTTTGATCATCCCTCGAAACTTGCATACCCACGTCGGCTCCACTATACCGTAGATCACATTGACCACTCCTTGGGGGGACGCCTCTAGGTCATTCGAACCACTCGGCTCAGTTGGGGTATGGTGCGCGGCCCTAATGCCCCCACTGATGTAACAGTCCCCAAGTGATTAGCTGCGACTAACTCCTCTAAGTGTTACTTTAAGGGCAAACAGTCCTCCGTCCGGTGCCCCCGCTTCCTATGAAATGTGCAGCAGTACCGCGGATTGAAGCCCTTTTACGCATCGCCTAACTTAGCGGGAAATCGGACGTAATCCTCGTCGCGGATTTCACTAAATATGCGATAGATTGGAATCTTAAATACCGTAGTGATGCCCGTCTGAGCATTTAACTTTCTGTTCGCATCTGCTGCGCCATCGCGGGGATATTCTGCTCGGTCATTGCGGCGACCTCTACCCCGGTTTATACGATCCGAACCACGGTCTGACTCTCTTGCGCGGTCACTTGGATTGTTTGTCTCCTGTCCAACCACGTGTACTTTCCCAGCCACCCTTTTGTCCATCGCCACCGGATTTGCCTTCACGGTGGATGCCACCGCATCATCCTCCACTTGGACGTGCTCATTGATGTGTTGCATTAGTTGCCCCATGGAAGTTGGTTGATTCATCGTGAGCGAGTCCGTCAGTCTATTTCCAACTGAGAGACCGCGTTTATATTGGGTGATTGCCAGGTTGGTCAGGCAATCTAGGATCTCGTTGAAGGTTTTCCAATACCTGGCATTGTATGCTTTGAGGGAGTCGCTTGACTCCATTTTGATGCTCAAAAGATGGCCCACTTCCTTTGGCATTTTGGTGTTGGTTTTGAATCGAGTCACGAATGCTTCCGCCAATTGCTGCCACCTTTCGATGCTCTCCTCTAAAAGCCTCTCAAACCATTGCAAGCCCAACTCGCCCAGACTCGATAGGAAAATAAGGCACATGAGAGCATCATTACGCCGGTGTCCGGCCATGACCTGCCGGAAGTGGCTTACGTGCATGTACGGATCGTTTTTCCTATCATAAAGCATAAACTTGGGTTGGTGAAAGCCTGCTGGGAGCGGTGTGGTCTTTATCTCAAAGGAGAAAGGGGTGGCACTCAGCCTTGCCAAATCTTTGTCCAGAGGGATAGGCACAGCTGAGAGTGGTGGCAGCATTATGACTTCCTCGCTAGCGTGACCTTCGTAGGATAACCTCTGGAGCGTCAGTATCCTTTGAACCTCCCGTCGACGAGCTCGTTCCTTCAAGACATCCCTCAGGTCCTCCGAATGAGCGGAGTAGGAATACCTCGATGTTGTCGGCAGATGTGAGGGATGGTAGCTACTATCTTGCGCGCTAGACTTCTCAGCAGGCGGGTCTTTGTCTCCAACCCCATAGTTTCTGGTGATGGAAAGGGAGGGCGTGTGTCGTTAGTTCTGGTTGCCTGAGCGGCGGGGTTAGGTGCGCTCACTGTGGTCACCCACTCCAGCAGCACCCTTCCCTTTCACTTGCCGTTTAAGAGCTTCCATCACTGCCGCCATTCTCTAGATGACGGTGTCTTGGCCCCTCAACTTGTGCGACTCTCTTCGCCGCTGGTGTCCGTCTGGACTCCGCGAGTGACCAAAGCTCCTAGAGCGCTTATCTCATGCATCTCTAAGAAGTCCTCTTGGGGAAGACTCCAGGCCCGCCATGTTCGAAATGGTGGGAAGTCCGTCTCTCTGACGGACTGACTCTGGGGTAATACCGTCGATGGCAGACAACGTTATTTCGTCGTTGTTTGCCATGGAAAACGATCCGATCAGCTTGGAGGGCAAGGTTGTGTCTGCAAAGTCTTTCCACAAATGGCGCCAATTGTACGGGGGGAAAAATATCCGATACCGCTTGCACTCCTCGCGTCAAAGCTCCTCTTCGATCCGACTAACCTACGAACACAAGGGCGGTGAGCTACCCGGCGGTGTGTTGCCGGAAAACCCCTCCGACGGTCAAGTTAGCTCACACTCAGAGAGAGAGAGAGAGAGGAGCAGACTGAGTGCTAGAGTTTCTCTCACCAATTGATGTTTCATCCCCAACATAGGGGGAGCAGTCATGCTTATATACCTTCTGCGCTTGCCTCTGCATCCATTCACCGTCTGACGCGTGGACCTGCTTTCCTATCCCATTTCCCCATGTGTCAAAGCAAATTCAGCTAAACACCACCTAATCAACCCGCCAAACGGTGTTGGCGCGAACGGGTAGCTCGGCAGCACTGACCCAGCCGAGCTCCATCATCACCGAGCTTAATAGTCATCCGTTGTGACCGAGCTTCCGCTCGGTTGGGCCGGTCTACGGTAGATCCCACTTGCCGAGTTAAACGAGCGAACAACAGGAGCCGGGCTGGCAAAGGATCTTCTCGGCCAAATCTGTTCTGGACTTCAACCGAATAAACTTCCTCCCGGAATGACCTAGCCCAGCTCGGCCCAAACATTCTCGGACCACCTTCAGCCCGGCGAAAACCGCAGCCAAAGGTGAGATTATGAAATCTCCCTCTCAGTATATATACATACAAAGGCGGTTCAGGTCTACATGAGGTGTATTGGAAAAATTTTAAGCGAGGTCCTTTTATAAATTCTTAAGTTATAATTCTTTATTTAAGATTGAAAATTATATTTTGTTTTTGTTCTTTATTTATTTTTAAATTGTAAACTGTAAAATTAATGTTGTATTGAAGTTTTGTTAACATATCATTCATAGAGATACAATTTATATTTTAATAAATGGTTGTTGTTAATGCAATAACACTACACATACAAAATCAACCACAAAATTATGTGTTGTAAGAGTTATTGTTGTTGGTACTATGATTAATTATTCTCTAACATTTCTCTCACTTGATATAGACTTTTTAATTTGACCGAGAGATGTACAATGACAATGTCCATTCTTTATATAATGACAAATAATTTTTTTCCCCCTTCATATGTAACAATTGATTTTATGTGAGCATTTACAATTTTTTAAACTTTTTCTTTTTTTTTTTGGAATAGAAAGACCGAGTAGGGTATAATTATAACTAATAGGAAATATAATAATGATAGAGTAATTTGTTTCTGTGGTGATACATATCACTAAAAAGAGAGTACTAAGCCAGCTCTAATGAGCTGGCAATGCAGGAAATAAATTTAAAAAAAAAGGAGAGCAAAACATCAAATTAATTAGAGCTACAGTGTATTTAGAGCTATTAGAGTTTGTTATGAAAGTAGAGAGCAGAGAAAAGAGAAACTCTATATTGAATTAAAATGAATAATACAATAGTAGAAGCCTGTATATATAGGCAGAAAAAAACCTAGATAGGTACAAAAAAAGATAGAGATAAGTATAGAAGGAGATAGAGATAGAGAGAGATACAATACAAATAGATAAGATACATCTATAATAATATACAGCTAACACCCCCCCTTAAGCTCAAGGTGGTAAGTTAGATATCCACTTGAGCTTCGAGAGGAGATCAGAGAAGCGGCCTGGAAGATGAGCTTTAGTAAAGAGGTCGGCGGTCTGATCAGTAGAGATAACAAAAAGAAGACGAACATGGCCACTAGTAACATGCTATCATATGAAGTGGCCATCAATCTCAATATACTTGAAGCGATCATGGAAGACATCATTATGGGCAATTTGAATAGCACTTTGATTGTCACAATAAAGATTGGTGGCAACTGAATGAGAAACACCCATGTCAGAAAGAAGCCAACGAAGCCACACAAACTCCTAAGTAGTGTCAGCGAGAGCACGATAGTCAGCCTTGGTACTAGAACGAGCAACAAGGGTTTTCTTCTTGCTATGCTATAAAATGAGATAGTTGCCCAAGAAGAAGCAGAACCCAGCAGTGGAACAACGATCAGTTGGATCCCCTACCCAATCGGCATCAAAAAAGGCATGCAGTTGTAGAGAAGAGTGAGGAGAATAGTGAAAACCATGAAACAAAGTTCTTTTGAGATAGCGCAAAATGCGAACCAGAGCAGCATTGTGTTTAAAGCGAGGAGCAGTCATAAATTGACTGACAATGTGAACTGCATAAACAATATCTGGATGAGTAACTATGAGATAGACAAGACTACCAACTAGCTGATGATATAAAGTGGCACCTGACAACAGAGGGCCGTCAAGAGATGTGAGACGAGTCTGAGGATCAACTGGAGTAGTGACAGTCTTGCAATCGGTAAGGCTAGCATGAGCTAAAAGATAAGAAGTATACTTGTCCTGGGTAAAAAAATAACCAAAGGAATCATGAGAAATTTCCAAGCCAAGGAAGTAGCTAAGTGCACCCAAATCTTTCATCTCAAACTAGCAATGGAGAAACTGTTTGAGACTAGAAATACTCACTGTGTCATATCCAGTGATAATCATATCATCCACATAGAGGATAAGGAGAATAGTATCGTGCTCCGTCTTACGGATAAACAGGGCAGAATCATGGGCACTGGAAGAAAAACCAAAGTCACAAATGGTAGAGCTAAACTTGGCAAACCAGGCACGTGAAGCTTGTTTCAAACCATACAAAGCACTGCGGAGTTTGCAAACCATGTTTAAGGGAACAGAAAAACTAGGGGGGGTTGCATATAAACTTTCTCAGTGAGATCATCATTGAGAAATGCATTCTTGACATCCATCTGAGAAAGGCGCCAATGGCGAGCAGCAACAATAACAAGTAAGCTGCAAACTGAAATAAGACGGGCAACAGGAGCAAATGTTACCTCATAGTCAATCCCATATTCTTGACTAAATCCTCGGGCGACAAGGCAAGCTTTGTA